CTCCTGAACCCTAGACCGATTGTGGACTGCATGGACAGTCTTGGAATTAAAGACAGACCTCTTGTTCGTAGACTTGGGTTTGTGTATGAAGAAGAGATTGGATTTATACCCCGCCCTTCACTACCCGAAGGAGTCTCTGAGCAGCTTACAATCTCCTTTCCCTTCCCCTTCCCACAACAGGCACCCTTTGAGGTGTAGGTGGGGGCTGAGAGAGCTCTTTCGAGGACTGCCCCTGAGAAATCAGCTCTGACAGAACTTGTGACTGACCCAAGACCACCCAGCTGGCTGCATGTGGAAGAGCGGGGAATAAAACCCGGTTCTCCCAGATTAGAGTCCGCGCTCCTGACCACTACGCCAAACTGGCTCTCAGGTCTGCGCTCCTAACCACAACACCAAACAAAGCTTCTCAAGACGAAAGGGATAAGAATGAACAAACTCAGAATCAGTACCCATGTCAGCATCCATTTGCAATGACAAATAACAGACCTGGAGTTTCTTCCCTTCCTCAAGATTCTTATCCCTTCCATTCTGAGAAGCTCTGTTTGGTGTAGTGGTACGGAGCGCGGGCTCTAATCTGGGAGAGCCAGTTTGGTGTAGTGGTTAGGATTGCGGAACTGGGTTTGATTCCCCACTCCTCCACATGCAGCCAGCTAGGTGACCTTGGGTCAGTCACAAGTTCTTTCAGAGCTGTTATTTCCAGAGCAGTTTCTGTCAAGAGCTCTCTCGGCCCCACCTACCTCCCAGGGTGTCTGTTGTGGGGAGGGGAAGGGAAAGGGGATTGTAAACCGCTCTGAGACTCCTTCAGGTAGTGAAGGACGGGGGATAAACCCGATGCTTGCAAACGTGGCTCTTTGCGAGCTGCTGAAGAATACGGAATATCATCAGGAAGTTTCTCTCCGACCAAGTCTCCCACCCACCCAGGATAACACAAACTCTTAGGGGATTATAGAGTCTTATGCGCTTCCAGGGCTATTTTTGGGAAGGAACGCGCAGGAACGGAGTTCCGGCTGGCTCCCAAGTTGGCCACACCCAGCAGGAACTCATTAGCATAATAGGCCACACCCAGCAGCAGAACCTCATTAGGATTGGCTACATTAGGGGTGTGTGGCCTAACATGCAAAGGAGTCCCTTCTCCAAAAAAAGCCCTGGGTTTTGACCACAAACAAGGTAAACAGAATAAGAAGCAAAAGGTGGGTGTGGCTGGATGAGCACACTTCTGGTAACATGGGGGTGCGGCCTAATATGCTAATGAGTGGTGCAGTCAGGGGCATGGCCTAATATGCTAACGAGTTTCTGCTGCTGGGTGTGGCCTATTATGCTAATGAGTTCCTGCTGGGCTTTTTCTACAAAAAAAGCCCTTTGCGCTTCCCTTCTGTTTTCAACTGATGCTCCACTACTGCCATTGCCTCCTGTGCTTCCCGGCCATTTCCCTTTACTTTTTTTTTTTTTAGTTTTACCAAATTGCAATCAGCCGCCCTGTCCCCTCTCGCTCTGGTTCCCTTCCCCAGCAAATCAGAGATGTTGAGCGCAGTGCAGATATCTGGGGACATTTTGCACCCTGTCGGTGACGACACCCGTAGAGGACGAATTTGTTATCCAATCATAATAGAAATCTGACATTTTCATTTCTGCTGTCGTCTGCGACACGGAGCAGGGCCGAGGGAAGCGTGGGGACTGCCAGCCCTGTGTTCTCGAAGGGGTTAGGCCAGGAGTCATTGGGGTTACAGGCCAGACCCAGAGGGAGCCAACATGCCGTCCTTTTCTCTTTTCGCCCCCTTTTGGGAGGTTTTTTTTTTTGCCAAGTCACCTTGGTCTCCCCACCACAAGGCCCCCTTTCACAAGGCCGCCTTCTTCTTCCTTGAAACTTCAAGTGTCATCACCACATCGCATTCTGTGCCCTCCCCTGTATGGCTGTGGGGTAGGCATCCGTGAGTGGATTGTTTTGAATGATCAAAAGGGTTCTCCCGCGGGTACTCACGGGACAGAGGAATTTCCTGCAATCACTCAGAAACTTGAAGGCAGGGGTTCACAGGACTTTCTTCTTACTGACTCTGTAGCTGTCATAACCTGACCTTGGGTGCCGCTCTGCAGATAAGCCCAAAGTCACTTACCGACCTGCGTGTCTTCTTTAATCATTAACGTTTCCTCCCCCTCTGTTTGCCCCTCACTCAATCTGCAGTGACATTTCTGTTTAATAAAATTGTATGGGACAAAGGCCACCGTTTCATATAAACAGGCTAATCTGGTCTTCAAGGGCAGGCACAAAAGTAAAATCGGCACGCATTCTGCCTCCTCTGGTCTCTCCCCTACCCTTTTTAGCCTTTGTGAGCGCTGGCCTCACATCCAGAACAGACACAACTTCTCCCCCACCTGGAAGTACTTTGGATGTCTGAGTTCATTAGTGATTAAGACTGTAATTAGGGCCCCCCAACCTTTTTGAACCTGTGGGCACCTTTGGAATTCTGACGCGGGGTAGTGGGCTCAACCACAAGATGGCCGCTGCTGGAGGCGGAGCCAGCCACAAAACGGCTGCTGCTGGAGGCGGATCCAACCACACAAACGTCCAGGAGTGAACTCATGTGTCACTCTAATAGTAACTCTGTAATGTTTTCAGGCAGAAGCTCTGTTTAGCAGGACACCACTTAAAACGAGCCTATTGTTTGAAAAATATTTTCCTGCATAAACACAGCTTCCCTTCAGTCACACAGTGGAGATCCTTGGTGCTGTGGCGGCAGGTGCTGCCAGAGGCAACTTTCTAAAAATCTGCACAGCCAATCCGGTCTCCAGTCACCGATCAGAAGCCCTGCTGGCCAAAAGCCCTGCCTGGCCCCAGTGACTGTAAATGCTCTCGGCGGGTGCCAAGAAAACTGTCAGCTGGCACTGTGGTCCCTATTGGGGAGGGGCCCTGTGGCTCAGTGGTAGAGCGTCTGCTTGGCATGCAGAAGGCCCCGGGTTCAATCCCCAGCATCTTCAGTTGAAAGGGCCAGGCACAGCCCCGTAGCTAAGGACTTTTTAGGGAGGGGGCCTGGAGGGGCCCGCCTGCTAATCCAATCAAAGGCTCCAGGGCAAGGGCTGCAGCGGCCACAGCTTCCCTCCCTCTCCCCCCCCTCCCCTCCCACAAGGGCAGGCCTTCCCTGTGGAGCGTCCGGGTCCAGCTCCCTCCCTCCCTCCCCAAGGAGCCCCAGTGCCTCTTCCCGTGGCACAGCACCAGGGGCAGCCTCTGAAATCACTGCCCTTGTCCTCCTTTGCCAACAGGCAGACAGGCACTCAAGGGGAGTTGGGGTAGGGGAGCTGAGGCTCAGGAAAGGGGTCCATAAAAACTGCTAGGGAGGCCAGGCCCCACGGGCCCCGCGTTAGCTACGGGCCTGGCCAGGCAGTAGGTGATGTGAAGGACCCTCTGCCTGAGTTCCTGGAGACCTTCTGCCAGTCTGAGTAGTCAGTACTGACCCTGATGGATTGAGTGTCTGATTGAGTATAAAGCAGCTTCATGTGTTCGTGGGTCCCACGTGGGGGTCCCCTGATCTTGACAAAACCCATTCAAGTCTGCCAGTCCCTTAAAGCCAAACAGAATTTTCAAAGATATGAGCTTTTAATGTGTCCCAGCTTATTTTGTCAGACGCGTGTGGAAATTTCCATTGGTTTCTAAGATGCTTTCATAGAGCAAGGTGTCTGATTGGCCATTGGAGATCTGATTGCCTGTGCGGATTTTTAAAAATGCTGTTTGGGCAGAAGCTGCTACCCCAGCACAAGAATCTTCACTGTGTGACTGAAAGTGATCTGTGGCAGCCATTTTGTGGCTGGCTCCACCCTCCCCCGGCAGCCATTTTGTGGCTGGCTCCACCCTCCCCCGGCAGCCATTTTGTGGCTGGCTCCACCCTCCCCCGGCAGCCATTTTGTGGCTGGCTCCACCCTCCCCCGGCAGCCATTTTGTGGCTGGCTCCACCCTCCCCCGGCAGCCATTTTGTGGCTGGCTCCACCCTCCCCCGGCAGCCATTTTGTGGCTGGCTCCACCCTCCCCCGGCAGCCATTTTGTGGCTGGCTCCACCCTCCCCCGGCAGCCATTTTGTGGCTGGCTCCACCCTCCCCCGGCAGCCATTTTGTGGCTGGCTCCACCCTCCCAGGGCAGCCATTTTGTGGCTGGCTCCCCCCTCCCATGACAGCCATTTTGTGGCTGGATCCACCCTCCCAGGGCAGCCATTTTGTGGCTGGCTCCACCCTCCCTTGGCCAGTGAGCAAAAATTCTACTTTGAGAGCTCCTGGCATTGAAGTTGCGAGCGAGCGATTTGGCCACTGCATCAATGAGTTTGCTCTGGAGCCATCCTTCCTGAGTGAAGTCAAAAATGTGAGCCGGAGGCTTAAAATACTGTGAGCTAGCTCACACTAACTCAGCTTAGAGGGAACACTGCTCTGGAGCCCTGCTTCCTGAGCCAAGACAAAAATGGTGAGCTAGCTCACGCTAACTCAGCTTAGAGGGAACACTGCCCATGGCAGCCATTTTGTGGCTGCAGCCTCCATACCGTGTCAAAATTCCAAAGGTGCCCGCAGGCTGAAGAAGGCTGGGGACCCCTGTGCCGGGCAGCTCAGGGCGCAGGGCCCGACCCTTCTTCAGCTTTCTTCTGTTTCACTTCTCCTTCCTGTTGCCGGAAGCGCAGAAACCAGATTCCAGGGCACAGCGTTTCCTCCCCGGACGCTCGCTTCCCACCGAACGAATCCTTTCGCAGGCTCAAAGGCCGTCCTTTTGATAACTCCCAGAGACGGCTGGGTTTGGTTCCGATGGCCCTATTCAACAGAGGAGGATGGGGCCAGGTGTGGGATGCCCTCCCAGGTAGCGGTAGCGATGGGGGAAAGGGGAACCGGGTCGTGTTTGCGCAGCCTCGACGGAGGTTGGTTGTTGGGGACGGAGCGGCTCGGCAGAGACTGGGACTGGAGGAAGTTGCGGCCATCCATCTGAGCAAAGAACTTCTTCCCCTTTCACATTGGGCATGTTGTTCTGTTTGCAGGCGGGGACGTGACCGCGAAGAATATCTGGTTGACAGAGAGCATCCTGGACATCTTCATGGAGCAGAGGTAGGCGCCCTGCCGGAGTCGCGGGGCCACTCGTGATGCTCAGAGCTCAGTTGCATGTACCTGTGTATTCATAAAAAGACAATGGACTGGTTGTATCAGGCCCCGTTCGTCCATTTATTTATTTATTTCATTCGTATCCCATGTTTAAGAATATAAGAGATGCCATGTTGGATCAGGCCCATGGTCCCACACTCTGTGTCACACAGTGGCCAAAACCCAGGGGCCATCAGGAGGTCCACCAGCAGGGCCAGAACTCCAGAAGCCCTCTCACTGTTGCCCCCCAAAGAACCAAGAGCATAAGAGAAGCCATGTTGGATCAGGCCCATGGTCCCACACTCTGTGTCACATGGCAGCCAAAACCCAGGGGCCCTCAGGAGGTCCACCAGCAGGGCCAGAACTCCAGAAGCCCGCTCACTGTTGCCCCCCAAGAACCAAGAGCATAAGAGAAGCCATGTTGGATCAGGCCCATGGTCCCACACTCTGTGTCACATGGCAGCCAAAACCCAGGGGCCCTCAGGAGGTCCACCAGCAGGGCCAGAACTCCAGAAGCCCGCTCACTGTTGCCCCCCAAGAACCAAGAGCATAAGAGAAGCCATGTTGGATCAGGCCCATGGTCCCACACTCTGTGTCACATGGCAGCCAAAACCCAGGGGCCCTCAGGAGGTCCACCAGCAGGGCCAGAACTCCAGAAGCCCGCTCACTGTTGCCCCCCAAGAACCAAGAGCATAAGAGAAGCCATGTTGGATCAGGCCCATGGTCCCACACTCTGTGTCACATGGCAGCCAAAACCCAGGGGCCCTCAGGAGGTCCACCAGCAGGGCCAGAACTCCAGAAGCCCTCCCTCTGTTGCTCCCCCCAGGCACCAAGAGAGGTCATGTTGGATCAGGCCGGGCCAGTCAGTGTTTATACTGACCCGTAATATCTTCAGCCCTCTGCAGCGGAGCCAATTTCCCCCTGATAGCTCTGCTCTGACTTTAGCTACCCCAGTCCTCGGCGGCGGCATCTCTCACTCGCACCCCTGCGTCCCATTCCTTGGTCAAGCCAATGAGTAATAATTCCTCAAACCGCAGCCCTAGCCAGAGCTGTTTCATTATTTTTCAGTACGCTCTCCCCTCTTCCAAATTGTTGTTTTATCACAACAGCCATTTCTCTTTCAAAATGGCTTATTATCGTGGGGAACGATCAGGTTGTTAAAGCATTTTGCTCTGGGCCCCGCTTCGAGCGAGAGCTCCGCGGGCGTTTACTCTCTTCCTGGGGAGTAAGGCGACTTCACCACCTTGCCCCACAGTGCCACCTAGTGTGTCTCCTGGGAGCAAACCCGTTTACGCCACAGGAAACACCTTGAGCTTACAAATCACTGCCTGCCGCCCGCTGGAGCTCTCTGGACGGTCCTCCCTCGTTAGCTCACAATGGGCAAGCTTTGTTTTTTCTTCCGCAATTCAATATCGGCACAGATGCTGGAGGGTGAGGGTAGACTTGAAATGAAACGAAAGCAGATTTCTAGTTTGCAGGACCCCGAGCGAGGCTGTTAACGGAAGGATGCTTTGGAGATCATTACAATCCTAGAGTCACTGTAAACTGGAAATGACTTGATGGCGCTTAACAGACACACAATAATTTATGTGGCCCACTTTCCGCTTGTCTTTCCTTGACTTTTTTGGTCCCATAAAAACACACACACACACATATGCCCCATGCACTGTAGAAGGCCAAATTCTGTGCCTAGAAGGTTCTTTCGGCAATTATTTGATGAGCATGCATTTTTTCTCAGTTTATTCTGTCTCCAAGATTTGTGTGTGTGTGTGTGAAGTAGGGTTGCCAAGTTCTACCTGTCGCTGCAGTGGGGGACTCCCGGCTTGCTCCTGGAGTGCGCGCATGTGCCGCAACCACGTCACCCAGAAGTGACACGACCACACCGGGCACGCTGCGGGCGGGGCCACGACCATCCGGGGGAAAAACCATAGAGTTTTCTCTCAGATGACCGTGGCCCCACCCCCAGCGTGCCTGGCGTGGTCGCGTCACTTCCAGGTGACGTGCACGTCGCGTACTTTGGGGGTGGGGTTCCCCCGGGGCCCGATCCGCCGCCGGCGGGGTTTCCCCGTCCCCCGGGGGGGACTTGGCAAGCCTAGTGTGAAGTGCTGTCAAGTGTCAGACTCCTGCAGCAATCAGTTCCCAACAGCTTTCATTCAAAGAAGTCAGGTTTATTGAGACATTGAGAGTATGCAGATATCTTAACCATTTCGTGTTAGAACTGGAGAAAAGCGTGCGCGGCAGGCAGATATACATTATTCGAGGAGGTCCCCTGATGGCCCAAGGCCAATCAGGGATCAGGTAGAAGCCCGCCAAAGTAACGGTCTACCTTTCCCAGGAGAAAGACTACACCAGGCACTGAAGGTCATACCGAGATAATAGAAACATAGCAGTCATCGCAGAAATGAAACTGGTCTAAGACCGTTTTAATAAACTTCTGATTTATGAGTTAACAAATTTTAGTGCAATCGATAGTACTGACAGAAAACAGTATGCAAGTGTCACGGCTCATGTGGGGTGTCACCTGACGCTGCCACCACTCTGGATTTAGGTTCCCTTGAGAAAGCCCAGAGCACCCTCCCAAGACCTTCAGACCTCCCTTTTGGCCGAATAACAGGTGTGAGGACCAGGCAGAGTGAACAATGAAAATAGTTTATTTTGTAAGAGGTCAAACAAACAAGGTGCAGAATTATAACAGTAAGTGGGTGAAAAGAAAAGAAATCAAATGCCCTAGTGCGTCTAAATATATACTGTCCCTAGCTCACTATCTCAAGTAGCCTTACACTACTTACCCTTACCACAGGATGAGGGTTTCTTCCCTGCAGCAGCCTTCCTTCTGGCTCTGCCCTCTGGGGAAAAGAACAGCTTCTGCTCTGGCACCAGCTCTTTTGTTCCCCAGCCCTCTTCTTCCCTATTGGTCAATTTTGGCTCCAAAACCTCTCAGGGGCTTCTGGGAGTTGTAGGCCCAGCCTCACCTACTGCTAGCCAGGCTCCCTGGGCCTAGTAGGCCTCTGGTGGCACAGCCCAGATCATGACAGATACATTTTATGGAAAGCACGCACAAGCTTAGGGGCATTGACACGGGATTCTCAGACCCATTCATTATGAGAGGGGTCGAGGTATTTCCCTGGCCCCCTCCAACCAATGCCGCCAGGTAGTAAGGGCTAGTTTGATGGCAGCCGCCTCTTTTGTCTCAAACCGACCAATTACGTTCAGTAGAAATAAATTTCTTGGAAACGTATGTCAGGGGGTGGAGTTTACTTCCAGTTTATGGCAACCCTCTGAATGAATGATCTCCAAAACGTCCGATGGTTAACAGCCTTGCTCGGGTCTTGCAATCAATGCATCTCGTGTTGGGTGGGCCTTCCTCTCTTTTCCTGCTGCCCTTCCGCCTTTCCCAGCATGATTGTCTTTCCCAGTGACTCTTTGTCTTCTCACAATGTGACCAAAAGTACGATAGTTTCCGTGTAGTCATTTCACCTTCTAGGCAAAGTTCAGGCTTAGTTTGATCTAGGACACACCGATTTGTCCTTTTGGCGGTCCATGGGGACGGTAAAACTCTCCGCCAGTACATTTCAAATTAATCAACTTTCCTCACTGTCCAAGTTTCACACCCATACATAGAATCATAGAGTCGGAAGGGGTCTCCAAGGTCATCTAATCAAACCCCCTGCACAATGCAGGACATTCACAAGTGTCCCTCCCCACCCACCCCCAGTGACCCCTCGGGAATACTGCGGCATGAATTGTCTTGATCTGGGTCGCCAGTGATATGTCCTTACATCTTCTCTAGCTCCTTCATGGCTGTCCTTCCCAGTCCCAGTCTCCTTTTGAGAGCCAGTTTGGCGTAGTGGTTAAGTGTGCGGACTAGGGTTGCCAAACCTGTTTATTCCTGTGGTGGGGGGCTCCCGGACGGTGTCTTGGTCATGCACGCGCGTGCCGCATGCACACCCCCCGGATGTGACATCATGACGCCAGGCACGCTGGGGGGGGGGCCACAGCC